CCACATAATCTCCTGTCCCCGAACGTAGCTGCTACTTACCCAATGATCAGATTTATGGTGGTTATTTCCTCCCGAAGGAAGGATTTTAAGTTTGCTGAACTTACAGCCCTTTTCCCTCAGTTTTCTCCATGTCTGGTTTGATGACGTCACTTTCGTGAAGAGCATTTGTAGTCCTGGACTTATTTTCACACAAAACCAAAAATCATATTTCCCCCTGTTTGAAAAAAAGTGCGTTCTTGGTATCAAAATCTGTCTTTAAAATTCACGGACATCATATGTGAAATCCATGGCACAAAACAAGTGGAATTAGAAAATAGCGTTTTTAGCCCCATTGACTTGCGTTCATTTTGTCGTTCTTCCAGGGATCCATGATGCGGAAGTGACTTAGGCTCCCTATTGGAAGAAGGCCACCTTAGAGGCAAGTAGGAAACGGAACTTAAACTGGGAAGATGACCAGTCTGTAATAAAATGTGATACCTTCCACCAGCTTGATTTTGTTATAATATGTCATATTTTTCAGATTTATGGGGATATACACATTGAAACAAAAACTTCATGAAAATAACTTTTAGCAGATCCTGTTGGAATTAATTGGATCTTTGGTATAAACTGATCGTTTGCGTGTTCCTGTTTGTGCGAAAAAGAATGGAGTCTTTAGGCTTACATTTCCTTGATGATTTTATTGATGAGAGCTTTCTGTATCTAGCTCTCCATCAGTCAGTCTGCTGGAGAATCAATACTGTTGGAGGGCATTCAAACAGATTGTGTGTGTGTGTGTGTGTGTGTGTGTGTGTGTGTGTGTGTGTGTGTGTGTGTGTGTGTGTGTGTGTGTGTGTGTGTGTGTGTGTGTGTGTGTGTGTAAATCCCCAAGGAGAAAAAAATCTTTTCCCTAATTCCAGCTCCTTATCTGTCCTCCCAGACACCCATCAGTGTCACATTCTAGAAGATATATGAGGCTGATTGTTAATGAGTTTTAACAGCTTTTTGCTACTTTACGCTCTGAAGGGCTTATCAGCGCTGAGTTGCACCTACTGCTGCTTTTAAAGAAAGCTGCTGGACTTCACATTTCCTGCATCGCTTGTTCACATCCACAGCTTCAAGCGTTGAACCCTTCTGTTGTTGATTAAGGAGATCACTTCTGTTATTTCCAACACTAAAACAATATTTGATTTCTTCTCTCCTTTGACGTAATCAATGCTCAGAAAAACGCACATCATCTAAGTGCTCGCTCTTTTATCATGCATGTCTCTGTCTTTCTACAAGCTGAAACCAGTTTTTTATTGTCACACACAAGTGGCCACACAATCAGCAATAATCAAGTTCCTGCAGAACTTGCAGCACTTGGAATAAATGCACGAGTAATGAGGCACGAACACTGAGAAGAGCAATCATGACCCGATTAATGCACTTTTTGAGGCTCAAGTGTATTACGCACAGCAGATCAGATCATTAGATCAGAAAACAGTCTGCTTTTTGAAGTGTGGTGGTATAAAACCTCTGGCAGAAAGAGGCATAAAACAGTTTCAGGGAATTCTTTCTTCAATATCTAATTTTGTAATCATACACTGCAGCTTTACGCCTCGTGTGCAATGATGCCGTTGTAAGCATTCCATTACATTGTGTTTAATGCATGTAAAATCAGACTACAAGTCTAAAATGCATCGGATACGTGAGCTGAGTGTAAACAAACTGGCGATCCAGAAAGCTCCTTCTGTGAAATTAACTTTACGAGCGTGTCTCTTTGAAATTGAAACCCGAGTTTGTGCAGCTTAAGTCGGCAGCTCTCCTCCCTGAGAGGTTTCATTCTACAAAGTCTCCAACTTTGTGTCCACGCTGCCTGCGAGCCCAGATACAGCACAATTACAAACCGAATGGATGGGACGTTCTCCTGCTGGATTCATGAAAAACACAGAAAATCCTTGCCTGCCGACACACAAACACGCTCAGAACAATAAATGTGTCGCTTTCTTTCTGCGGCAATGGGTCCAAAGAGGAAGGCACTTATCTAAGAGAAAGGGAAGTGGAGATACATAATAAGTGCTGGGAAGAAAAAGGGTGGTATGGCCTGAGAGCTGCTCAGATAAGCGCTTTTGTCTGTTTTCTAATTCTCCATGGCTGAGACAGACACACAGCCTAACACCGACTGCCAGTTTGTCTAAGTTATCACAGTCACTGAGAAGGTCATCTGGATGAATGCTTCTTATTACAGGATGTATGCCTTTATCCCGTTATGGAGGTCAAAGGGTCAAACATCCAGTCAGGGCACAGCTAAGCTAAGCCTTTTTGAAATGAAGACTTATAATGCGCTACAAGCCGAATCAAGAAAAGTCAGAGGAGATTTATTCCAACTGCAAAGCAAAATAAACTAGAAGTAAGAAAGAGAGAAAAGCAGACAAAGACGCATCAAAAGGGCAGAGAAATCATGCATGTTTCATGGAAATGTTCATTTCCTCTTAAATGACTAAACATGCATTGTGCATAAATGCTCTTTGGTTCACATTTAGCATTTATAAATCATAGATCACCTCAGTTGTCACAGATGGTCAGATGTGTTACACTCTGCATGAGTTTTATCAGCATTTACCTGCTTTTCTAGGAGTGTGAGGAGGTCATTCACATATTTCCAGGTAAGAGAACTATGATGAGACTCCTCTTTGGTGTTGAAGCGTATGTCATCGTTGCATTTCATCTTACTGATTGTGATTTAGCTGGATACAGAATGACTGGTTTACACATGGTGGACAGTTCACCTCATCAAACCTACACCAACATCTACATCTCACGTCTAGAGCTATAAAAACGTCGCCACAAAAACAGTTTCTTCCCCTCTGCAGTTGGACTTTTGAACGAAAATCCTAGGGCAGCCCACTCAAATCGATTGGTCCCAGTCACGTGACCCGATGCTGTGCTTGAACCATTCAACAAATACTCAGATTAATACCTACACGGAGTAGATAGCTGCTTCTCTAATTCTTGCCACTTTTTACATTAATAATTTTATCATGAGTGTTTTATTAGTTCTTATATTTGCTTATCTCTTAATTAATTTTTTTTCTATCTTACCTTCTGCACCAAAATACCGCAGCAATTTCCTAATGTTGTGACTTGGCACACATATGGCAATAAAAACTTCTGATTCTGATTCTATAAAGAGTCCAGCAATGTCAAAATAAAACATTTGGACCTACCTGAATTGTGCTATGATAGAGGCTTTTGGCATGTGAGGCAGGTGAGGTGATTTTAAATAAAATGGTAACAAAGTGACTTTATTTTGTTTCAGTTGAACTAACTTTAGGTCATTTGGTTGCCAACTTCTCCAAAAGTCCACCAATAAAGGATTAATAGAGAGCTGTGATTGGTCAGATACAATTCTGCTCTGGCCAATGGAAGAGCTGCTGAGGCTACTGCTACAGTTGGTCTAGATTTGCAGTCTAACCTGTCAGGTATCACAGATACAATCTAATTTATGAGCTCGCCTGTCAGAACTCCTCCATCAGCTGGAGCTCTGAGATTCACAGATCAGCTACTTTTGCTTCTGCAACTGAGACCTGCTTTTAGTTTTAAAAAATGATTTCAGATTTTTCCAGTTTCACAGCACATTGGTGAACACTAGTTGTTTGAAATATGCGTTCAAAAATAAACCTTGACTGAAAAAGATGCTGCAATGATTATTGTAAAGTCAAGATATTCCAGGAACATGACAGCGAGGTCCAGTGCCTCAAACGCTTTTGTTGAAATTCCCTCACAAATGTTGTTTGCAGTTTGGTGCAAACAGTTGTCACCCATGGTGCAGACTTTACCCTTTTATGCATTAATTCTGACAACTTCTGTCTTTGTTTTCATTTTATGTATGAAAAGTACATTTTATACTTAAAATTTTGATATGTACTTTTGACAAGTTTTTATTGTCATTCAGCAATTGGCATTTTACTGAACTAACACAAAAATGTTAGTTATCATATTGTTGTTTTTGGTCACAACACAAGGTTATGAAGAACATGGGCTTCATCTAAGCTCCAGTGGTTCTAGATTCAGACGTAAGGCGGTTGGTTCAGGGTTCTTCTGGGGGGTTGTGTGTGAGTTTGCTTGAAATAAATAAATGAACCAGAGATTAAACTTGGTCCAACTTACAAGTATATAACTTTAGATGATGATTAAATTCTAAATGCAGGTTTTTGTCCATTTGAGTCTCTCGTTTAGATTAGATGGGTAGCTAATAAACCTTTGTTTCAGTGAAGACAGAATAAATGACAGAACTGTTTTACTGTCCGCTGGAACAAATCAGACAAGCAAATCACCTTTCTACACAACTGCAAAGTGACTGTTTTGACGGAGGGATATTTTTTTTCATCCCAATAATCAGAATCATCATCGCTGTTTTTGAATCGATCTTCCTCCCAGTCATCTTCATCCCAACCAGTTGTCCTGGCTGACACTCAGAGTCAGGTTTGTTATTGTTGTCCTTGTCTGACCTACTGTATGGGACTCTTTGTGGACATTTGTCTTGTTCCTATTTCCAACCTGCAAGGGAATGATTAGGCTGCAGCTCTGGGATCGACTCGTTGGCCTGCCATTTACTGATAAGCACGCTCAGGATCAATTAGATGGCCCTTTAACACATTCAACTTGATTTCCGTCCCCTAGATGAGTAGAGAATGGCTTAGTGTTGAACATGTGAGGTGCCTGATCGTGTAACGTTGGAAACATGCGCCCAAAGGCTGGATGCTTTGTAAAATACATTTTCCAGGATGTGAAGATATTAAATATTCATTTTTACAAATACTGCTTAACAATCTGCTCCAGGCACACACAAGCTAAACGCATGTGAACATGTTTCCCGTATTAGCCAAAGGAGCTGTTGATCATTATCACCGTAAACTACAAACGGCTTCTGGAGACAGGCGGAAAATTCAGGAAAAAGCTACAGAAATGAGTGTGGCCACTGCACCAAATCCTCAGTAAATCAAAAACAAACAGAAAATAAAACATAGTTGGCTCACCAATCTGGGCTTTTCCTCTCCACAGATCTGCCTGAAATAAACAGGATGGAAAGGTGCGTTAATCACATGTGATAAAATATTTTATTAAACATGAATCATGTGTGAAATGTTACATATTTCATGATATACACATGAAGTAACTCAGCCTTCATCATATTCTACAAATAAAGGGAAATAAAAAAGAAACGTAGTTTCCACACACTGTAGCTAAAAATAGCCTTTTTATGCTAATTTAAAAATTATTCACTCTGCACACAATCGTTTTATGATCTCTACGTTTAAATAAATCTGTCAGTCGCTTTCAAATGGAGAATAATGATAAAACATTAAAGAAGCAGAAACATCAGCAGATATTTATCCTCTTTGGGCCGTTTCACATTTTACCTAAACAACTTCTCTGAACCTGCCACGGTGGAGCGAGTAAACCGTAGAACATGACACCATGCCATCCACATCTTCACTTTGTCAGTGTTGTCATTTTTTTCACCTAAGTCTTTGGCAGTTATTAGCACAAAATATAAAACTCTGGCTTAAAACAAACTCAGGATCCGTGAAGATATTTTGAGTACTTTTATTTATTTTATAAAGTGGATGGTCTAAACCAGATAGGAAATAGATTTTTGTTCTAAATGCAGAAAGATAAATAATAATGCAGTCAGACATGAACAGTATGTATGCACATTTTCCAGATTCATTTAAAGATCAACTTTACCCCTAATTTTAATACTGAAATTTAAAAAAAGTGGTGTCTAATAGGAATGAATGCCTTGTAAGTTGCTCTCTGGGGAAAAAAAGCTCTGGTGCGCCGGTTTGAGGATGGAGAAGTCAGCTGGAGGTGGAAGAGGGCGAACACGATTTAGAGTCTTATTTACTGATATTTTGTCATCTCTCCTCTGATTGGCTAACAGCAACACAACTCTACCACTAACTCTGTTTGCTTTGCAATGTTGATGTTTAATTTCCACAAATTGCTCAAGCGCGGAGTTGGCAATGCTAATGGTTAGCTTCTACTAGCAGAGACGTCCTCTGCTCTTTCCTGGATGCTAAACCAGCAACAGCCTTTTCTGTTTTGAGTCAAGATGGGTGAGTCCATGAATGTTAAGTGACAGTGTGACGTTGATCTGTCAGGCTCTTGTAATCCGACAGTTTCACCGTCTATTTTCTATCAGAAGCTAATGCAGGAGAAAGGTGTAAGAGACTATTTTCATGTTCAGTCTGCATGAAAAACTCGGAGTAACCCATTATAATCAGGCACAATAATAATAAAAATGTTTTTTCAGTGAAGTTGACCTTTAAAGTATCTGAGCTATTTGTGACTAAGGGCTGAGCGATAAATCTCAATAAACCCTGATATTGATTTTAGGCCATATCGCTCAGCCCTAGTGTGACGCTTCTTTAAACTGGACTAAACATAAACTGATCACATTTTAATTTTTGGTAAAATTTCATGATGGAAGTCACAACCTTTATGTATCCATTACATCACTGGATCACCTGGGGTGTTTTTGTAGAACAGTACATGGCCCTGCCTCAGTTAGCTCCACTCCTGTGGAGCTCTGAGAGCTACTTAACCCAGACTGGCCTCAGTAGAGTTGTTCTGGGAAAGCAAGAAAGGTGCAAAAAAAAAAAAACCCTCATATTTTCACCTGCACTAAGCAGATGAGGATTAAAAGCCATAATGTAGTTTAGATGCATGATAGCGGTTTATTCTTATGGCTGCATAGGAAAGAACATTCATGGGAAATGGTCGCTAAAACTGACCAGCATTAAAGTAAACACACAAACGTCTGCGACTGTCAACGTTACACACATTCAGCTGCAGTTCGATGCAGGTGGTAGTCATTACTAACACATACGAGGGCAGACCCACAGTAGTACTTTTAGGTTTTTAACAAACACTACAAAAAATTAATAAATAAACATTTCTCAGCATAAGATGATTTCAGTTAAAAACTCAGAAAGCCAGAGAGTGATAAGTATTCCTTCAAGGAATCCCATGCCTTTAATTTCTAATGATGTAATTGCTGAATATCAAAAGACTATTCTGCCTTTATCTTCAACTCTACACGATTTAAATCTGTTTATTCAAAATGTACAGAGAGAAATCCTGCAGCTCGATGGCAAAAACTCCCACTATTACCTTGCTATTAACTGTGAACAAATAAAAAAGAAACGGTCTAACATCTGATCAAAGTTTTTTTTAGCTTTTGAACTTTATTACTACAGACTTCAAAGTTTTGCTGCAATGCACAACTTTATTTCTCACATTTTTACATAATCAGACGCATTTATTCTGAGTTTTGTTTAAAAATATCCACACTATAACGTTTGCTTTTGCTTAAAGAGTTCAGAAATGTGTGGTGTTATTTTTTTATTTAACCAGTGTCTGATGAATTATGACAGGATAGATGAAACACTTTGAATCGAAGCGACAGCAGCAGTGCAGTCAAATTTCAGCATCATCAACACCATCACAGAGCCACAAACACCATCATCAGCAGAGCATCACAACAAATCATCATTATTCAGAGTAAGTAATACCCTGCAGCACATCAACAGCCATTATCATCCTGTCATTATTATCATGTAGCAGATGAACCTGCTTTACATGCACAAAGCGCCGGACCCATTCAACTTGTTAAGGATGCAAAAAAAAAACACACAAAAAAACAAGATTTTTGAGCAGAACATGTCGACACAGCAACGTGCTTATAATCAGAACAGGAAACAGATGTTAAATGTTTTTTTTAAGTTATGGATTATTGAAACATACCAATCACAATAGTTTGAACCCTGCGTTCGTTGCTTGTTAGGGGAAAATGGATTTGACCATGCTCTGGTCCTGCCTGAGACTCAGAGACAAACCTGCCAAAACCACCGGAGTTCGGATTGTGATCAAATTATGAAAAAAAGCTCATTGATTGGGAGAAAACTTCCAACATTCTACCGTGTTCCTTTGCAAGACCACCAATATTTTAAATAGTTGTACCTCAATAACCACATATGCAAGAAGAACAGCTTAAAGCTGCAACAGCAAATCTGCAAAACAAGCTAGCTCAAAACACAAACATGGTTCCAAATTGGGTTGCTTGGTGGCGCAGTGGTTAGCACTGTTGCCTCGCAACACGAAGGTCGCAGGTTCGAAACTCGGCTGCGGCCTTTCTGCGTGGAGTTGCGTGTTCTCCCCATGCATGCGTGGGTTTTCTCCGGGTACTCCGGTTTCCCCCACAGATCACAACATGCCCTATAGGTTAAAAAAAATAATTGTAAGTCGCTTTGGGTAAAAGCGTCTGCTAAGAACATAAACATAAACATACATTTCCCGTTGGCTAATACCTCAAGGCCACGTCCGACACCAGTCACCATTTTCTAGGACCAAACCTCTTTTGTTGTCCGTGTCCTCAAATGGCGTTTTATTCTTTTTGGGACTGTGGTAGTTTGTCCTAAGGTTGGAGTAGTAGCAGCTGGCTGTTTCTCCTCTGATATTGTTGTGCGAGACAAACAAATGGATGGACCAATCGTTGCTTGATTGACAGACGTTTTCAAACAAATGCAAGAGAACCGCTTCACTAATTTTCTTGGTTTTGTTTTTTATTCTCTACAAAATATTTTTTAGGTAGAACGATGTGAAGAGGCATGAAAAATAAGTTTTGAGCTAGCTTGTTTTGCAGGTTTGCTATTGCAGCTTTAAGGTGTAAGGCATTACCTCCACATCTAGATGTGGCCTCTGACAAAAAAATAAATAAATTCTGCTTTACGGGATACTTTGCACCTTTTTCATATTTTAAATCATTTTCTTGAGCCACTTTGTGCTAAAATGACCCTTTACAAGGTTAATGAAATGTCACTCAGACCCCCACCGCACTCAGTGGCCAGAATACCGCACTTGCAACTTCAGAGTGCCGGTCCGGTCTGTTGGACTTAGAAAAAAATTAGAGCTGACATACCTGGTGCTGCAGTCTGGTTCCAGCACATTTCTTGCATGTTTTAGATCATGAACACAGCTAATTTATTTAATTTAGTGGTGAATCACTTCTGTAGACACTAAGGAAGGCTGGGAGACGTTTCAGCTGTTAGATTAAGGTGGTAAAAGACGAACGCACAGCGAGAAGATAGGTTTTGTTTTTGGTTCTACTGCAAGGACACTAGGAGGTGCTAAAAGCAATCCAAAACCTAGTCTCCCTTTATGTTTATGTTTATTTATTTGGCAGACGCTTTTATCCAAAGCGACTTAAGATTTATAACCTATAGGGCATGTTGTGATCTGTGGGGGAAACCGGAGTACCCGGAGGAAACCCACGCATGCATGGGGAGAACACACAACTCCATGCAGAAAGGCCACAGCCGAGTTTCGAACCTTCAACCTTCATGCTGTGAGGCAACAATGCTAATAACTGCGCCACCATGCAGCCCATAAGGAAGAAGGATTTTTTTTCAATGTGATTGATATAAGAAGGTCCTCAAAATGCAATATTTCATTTTATGTATTAAAATCGATGCTTGAAAATAGCGATGACGAATGACTACAATCTATGTTCTCCCTGAATGTTGGGATTGTGTGTGATGAATACGTATTCTGCTTTCTGCCTCCTAATCGAACAGTTCAGAGCATCAGGCTGCTTCCATATAGATGCAGTCCCTAAAAAAAGCTTCACTATTCTGCACACCCAGCATCCAATAGGGGAAAAACACCACATTTTTATTAGTTTTATGTTTTTTAAAGCAAGACGTTCAAAATTACTCTCGCTTCATGAAATGTTTATCTTTTGTTTTCTTGAATGGCAAAATTTGGCTACTAACAAAAAGTAACTGATGCTGCAAGTATTAAGGTGGTTGATGTAAGGACAAATGCAAAGATCACTTCTCAGTTAAGACTCCAATTGTTGCAAAAACAGTTTTCTTTCTTTTTGGTCTGTGTACAAATAGAGCTTACATTCACAAGGAAATACACAAATGTGTGCACACACACACTTGTCATGTGCAAATGCAAATAGGCCGGCTGAAATCTGGCCATTACTGTTGTGCTTGTCA